TATTCATGAGAGATATTGGCCTATAGTTTTCTATTTTGGTGGTGTCTTTTCCTGGCTTTGGTATCAAAGATATGTTTGCTTCATAGAATGAACCTGGGGGGGTTCCATCTTCTTCTATTTTCTGAATAATGTCAATTTTTTGCGTCAAGATGGAGTTTTAAGGCTTTTTTTTAAAATCGTGATGTTTTTATTGGTACAGTTGTGAATATTTTTCTTTTTGTTGAGGGATAATTTGGACTAAAGATTATAACCTTTGATCTTCAACAGTTCTTTGTGCTCCTCAGCAAGCAGGGTTATATCATCTGCATGGCTCCTCCTTGCCTCACTAGCATGAGCTCATTTTCACTCAATAGTCAATAGAAAACACACCTGAGACAGAGATCTGTGATACAACTCTAAGGACAGGAATCAAGGCCCCAGTCTTCCTCGCTCCTGGTGGTGGCAGCAACAGGTTAAACGAGCTGCCATTCTGCCCGTAATGAATAGTGAGTGCCTCAGAATCATCTGGGCCATATCACTTCTATGAAAAACCAGCACCAGCCTGGGTTTTAAGAGTCCTCTCAAACACCACTAACGCTTACAATTTAGGACCCTTTTTGCCTTAGACTTGAAACTTTCAATGAGTCTTTTGCTCAACTGAATTTAGGTGTTGTGGGGCTTTTTCCTTACATATTTTGAAAGTAAATATTAAAGTCTCTGCAAGTTAGACAATGATTCCACCAAACAAGGCTCATCGCTCTGCTCTTTCATTGTCACCAACCCTAACAAACTCTGTTAGTTCTTGATGATGTCAAGTAAAGATCTATTGTGAGCATTCATCAGCCCAAGATCTATTTCCACTTGCCGTTAGCACTTGGCCTTTGGGGTGAGGAGGGTGATTTATATCCCACTCGTTGTGAGAAATAGTGACTCAGGCTCTCTACACGTTCCCGGTCAAGCAGCAGCAACAAGACTTGCTAGGCCAATTAGACTTTCCTTCTCAGAAATATAAATCTATTTCAAGAATAAAAATAGACAAAAATGTGGTTGAATCGCATTGATTTCAACATAGTGACTGAGCCAAATGTCGAAGAGCTCCGAACACTCGTCACCCTTACTTGTATCCTAATGTCTGATACATCCAGTGAATTTCTGCCAGTGGATATCTTTCTTGCTTAACTGAACCAAAGATCCCTCCTATGGTTTACAACCCCAGGAGGCTAAGGCAACCAGCGTTCTATGGCTGTCCATGTTAACCCCATAGCAAAAGAAACAACATTCTGGGAAAGGTGGTAATACTAGAGATAAAGATGCTTAGAAATGCAGGTCAAAGGCAAAGGTTTTTTCACTTTGAAGGGTTTTGCTTGTTTGCTTTAGGCAGGCAGAGTGCTCAGTAAGGTAAACATAGAGCACCTGTCCTCTCTTATGGAAATCCTGGAGAGGACGCTTTGCATTGACTGGTCCGTATAATTATTATGAGGGTGGATAAGCTCCAACCCACTCACCTTAAAGTAGATAATAAGCGCGCTGGTCAGCACACTGACACTCTGGAACAGATCTCCAAGGGCATGCACAAAAGCTGCTCTGACACTGGCATTAGCTTGAGCCTCCGTGTGACTGTGCCCAGGGCACTTCTGGTGCAAAATGACACTTAGTCTGAAAGAAAGAAAGAAAAAGAAGTGTTGGTGATATTAACCCTTATGTATCATAACGCACCATAATGCAGGAGGGAGAAACACCATGGATTACCCAAAACGGTAGATTATTGAAATAGATATCTCACCGCTGGCCAATTTTCAGCATCATGATAGATGGCGAAGAGATTGAGATTGTAACAGCTTCAGTTTGCTTGTCTCCACAATCAACACTGTTGGTACTAGCAGCCAGAAAATCAAAAGACATATTGCATTGGGGAAAATCTGCTGTCAGGGATGTCTTCAGAGTACTGAAGAGCAACAATGTTAGTTTAGAGACTAAGGTGCACCTGATCCTGGCCCTGGTCTTTGCAAGTACATTCTAAGCATCAGAAAGCTGGATAATGACTAGGGTTAATAGCAACAGAATTTTTGATGACTTTGAGCTGTGGTGCTGGAGAAGAGTATTTTGAATATACCATGGGCTGCTAGGAGAACAAACAGGTTCAACCATGAGTGGGTTAAACCAGGCTGCTCCTTGGAGACAAGGATTTTGAGGTTTCATCTGACCTACGTTGGGCATGTTGCAAGGAGGGTCCAGTCCTTAGAGAGGAACATCATGCTTGGGAGGGTGGAGGGACAGCACAGGAGAAGACCCTGGATGAGATGGTTTGACTCAGTGACTGAGGTAATGCGGGTAGGTGTGTCAGAGACAATGAGGTTGGCTCAAGACAGAGCAGTGTTCAGAGCTGTTGTACATAGGGTCTCTCTGAGTCACAAATGACTCAACAGCATATAACAACAAAAACAACATTTTTAAACTAATAGTTGAACGTTAAGTTACCACTAATATGTCAAGTTGTCATATAGTACATTCATCTACCTACTGCCTTTTGAATTAAAATGAGGATACTTCACTTCTTAGATAAATGTCAAACACTTGACCATGAAGAGGGAAAATATCATTTATAGAGGGTCTACTAAAAGCCAGGCACTGAGCTAGACATAAAGTAGAGCTTTAACAGGGGGTTAATGAAACCCATTAACTTCAAATACAACAAATTGCAGCAAAGGATAAAGAAAAAAAAATAGTGAATGTCATCAGGGTTTGGGATTTTATCTTTTATGATCTAATTACTGGCATACCTTTCAGATGTTAAGGTGAGGTTCAGCCCACCATATTAAAGTGAATCTTGCACTAACGTGAATCACATGACTTTTTTTACCCACTATACCGAAAACTATGTTTTCACTTATACTGTGATGTTAAGTGCACTAGAAAATTTTGAAAAAGTTTAAAATGTTGACAGAATTAACATGAGGGATACAAAGACATTTATATGTATGTGTTATGGGAAAAATGACACTGATAATAGACTTGTTCAAACAAGGTTGCCACAGACCTTCAAAATGCAAAAACCACAAAATATTTATGAAGCTCCATGAAATAAAGGGAGGTATGATTGTGTGTTCACTTCCATAAGAATTTGAAAATTGGTGAATGTTTCAATGGTCTATAATAAAAGACTTGTAGCTATTTATCAAGACTATGTGTGTGTGTGCGCACGCGCACGTGTGGTGCGTGTTTATTGCTGTTGACTGTTGTTAAGGTGGAACTGACTCATAGATGAGCCTCCGGGAGGTTTTCAGAGTAGTAAATAGCACAGGAATAGGTTGCCAATCTTTTATCTCTTTCTCCCGTGGAGCAGGTGGTAGATTGGAACCTAGTACCTTCAGGTTGGCAGTGCAACTCCTTACCAGTAGGCCACCAGAGCTCCTTATTCCTTAACTTGTTGTGATGGTGTGTGATGAAGTCAATTATGACTCATAGTGACCTTTGAACAACAGATCAGAACCCTGTCCTACCTGGCGCCATCCTCATCATCTCTGACACACTTGACTGCTCATTGTTGCAGTAACTGCATCAATCCATTTTGTTGTATTTTTCTCTTTAGCTGACCCTCCACCTTTCCAAGCATGATGTCCCTTTCCAATGAATAACCCCTCCTATGAGAAGCACCTGCTGCAGAGGGTCAAGGACTGCAGCCTACAATATGGATTGAGGCTCAATGTCAAGAAGACAAAGATTCTCATCACTGGACCAACTGGCAGCATCAGGATGGATGGTGAAGAGATTGAGATTGTACACAGCTTTAGTTTGCTTGGCTCCACAGTCAACACTCTTGGCACCAGTAGCCAGGAAATTAAAAGGCGCATTGCCATGGGAAAGTCTGCTGTTAGGGACCTCTCCAAAGTACTGAAGAGCAATGGTGTCTCTCTGGAGACTAAGGTGCATCTGATACAGGCTATGGTCTTCACAATCACTTGTTATGCATCAGAGAGTTGGACAATGACCAAGGAGGATAGAAGGAGAATTGATGTCTTTGAGCTGTGGTGCTGGAGAAGAGTATTGAGAATACCATGGACTGCTAGGAAAACAAACAGATTCGTCCTGTAAAGGGTTAAACCGGGTGGCTCCTTGGAGGCAAGGATTCTGAGGCTCCGTCTAACATACTTTGGACATGTTGTGAGGAGAGACCGGTCCTTGGAGAGGGACATCATGCTTGGGAGGGTGGAGGGATGGCGCAAGAGGGGAAGACCCTCTATGAGGTGGATTGATTCAGTGACTGAGATAACTGGGATGGGAGTGTCAGAGACAGTGCGAGTGGCACGGGACAGAGCAGAGTTTAGGGCTGTTGTACATAGGGTCGCTATGAGTCGCAAGGGACTCGACGGCACATAACAACAACAACAACAACGAACATGCCCCAAGTATGTGAGACAAAGCTTTGCCATCCTTACCTCTAAGGAGCACTCTGATTTAACCTCCTCCTACACAAACTTGTTCTTTTGATAGTCCAAACTCAAAGGCATCAGTTCTTCTGTAATCTTCGTCCAGCTCTCAGATGCATCATAAGTGCCTGAAAAGATCATGGCTTGAATTAGGTGTTCCTTAATCTTCAAACTGACATCATTGTTCCTCAGTATTTCGGAGAGTTCCTTTATGGCAGACTTCCAATGCAATACTCCTTTTGATTTCTTGACTAATTGTGACTCTAAACAAAACGACACTGTTGGCAATTTCAATCTTTTCTTCATCTATCATGATACTGCCAATTGGCCCGCTGGTGTGGATTTTTGGCTCGTTGATGTCGAGCATAATCCCGATCAAAGGCAGCAGGTGTTTGGATCTTCAGCAGCAAGGGTTTCAAGTCCTCCTCACTTGCAGCAAGCAGGGTTGTGTCGTCTACATAATGTAGGTTGTTGTGTCTTTTTCTAATCTTGATATCACATTCTCCTTCATAAAGCCAACTTCTCTAATGATTTGCTCAGAAAACAGATTGACCTGGATGGAGGAAGCGTACAGCTCTGACACACGTCTTTCTTGATTTTAAGCCAGGAGTTGTCAATTGAGCATTTTAGACAGCCTCAACAACAACGTAACAGTGGAGCTGACATGGTAGTGAATAAACCTTTGAGAACTGCTGTCTGCTAATCATTGTTATTCATTCTTTCATTCACTTACTTGGTTTTTTTAATTTTTTTAAAATTTTATACTAGTTTACTTACAAAGTTCATATGGCTTTTCACACTGGATCTTTCTCATTTCTTTTACCACCCCTCCCTCCACTCATCAAGTTGTGAGACCCTATGATTACCCCCTTCCCATCCTAGCCATTCTGTTCCCCGCCCTTGGATCCTCATAGATGTTTTACTAGTTACCTTTCTATTTCTACAATAATGGTGTTATACAGTATTTGTCCTTATAGAACTGAGTTAGTTCACTTAGCATAATGCTCTCCAGACCCTACCAAGTTAGGTATTGATTTTCAAAATAATTTCCCCTGCAGGGTGTGTAGTATTCCATCATGTGAATGTGCCATAATTTCTCAAGCCATTTGGTTGTGTTTGGACCTTTGGGCTGTTTCAATGTTCTTGCAATGGTGAATAATGCTGCTATAAATTTTGGTGTACAAATCTCCATTTGTGCCTCAGTTCTAATTTTCTCGGTATATATTCCAAGCATTTGGTTAGCTTGGTCATATAGTATGTCTATGTTCAGCTTTAAGATATGCCAAATTGCCTTCCAAAGTGATTGTACCATTTTACAGTCCCACCAACAGTGTATAAGAGTTCCTATCTCACCACATTCTCTTCAACATTTATTACCTGTTGTCCTGTTGAACTTTACCACTTTTACTGGGGTGAGATGGTATCGTATTGTGGTTTTGATTCACAAGTCTCTTATTGCCAATGATTTTGAGCATTTTTTCATGTGTCTTTCGGCAATTCAAATCTCTTCCTCTGTGAAAATTCTTTGCATGTCTTTTGCCTACTTTGTAATTGAGTTATCAGTCTTTTTCTTATGGAGGTCCTATAGGATTCTATAAACTTTAAATATGAGACTCTTGTCTGAAATGATATTGCCAAATGTTTTCCCCCAGTCAGTAAGTTTTCTTTTCACTCTGTTGAAAAAGGTTTTTGATGCACACAAGGATTTAATCTTTAGAAGCCCCATTCATCAATTTTATTCTCTCCAGATTGTGAATTTCTGCCTGTGTTTGGTAGTCTCTTTATACCATAAACTAGGTTGTTTAAGCTTGATTTCCGTTTATCTCTGATGAGCTTTATGGTTTCGGGCTTTAATTCCAGGTCTCTGATCCACCTTGAGTTGATTTTTGTGAAATCTGGATCCCGTTTCACCTTTCTACAGGTAGCAGTACAGTTTTGCCAGTACCATTTGTTAAAGAGGTTGTTTTTTCCCCGTTGATAGGTTTTATTTCCTTGTTGAATATCAGTTGACCATAGATAGTTGGGTCTATTTCTGGGTTCTCAATTCTGTTCCATTGGTCTATGTTGTGGTTACTACTGCTGTGTAGTAGGTTTTGAGGTCAGTAAGCGCTATGCCTCCCACTTCATTTTCTAAATTTAAATTTTATATTGGATTACTTGCAAAGTTTGTATACATTGTTTTTCACACCTGCTTTTTCCCATATCTTTTATCCACCTGTCCCTCCCCCT